CTTTTCTATTTAAAAAAAAATTGCACTGGGTATGCCATAGGGAAGAGTGTCAGCCAAGCCATGGAAAAAAATCCGGCACGCTGCTCCATAATGCTTTACCTGGGCACCCTTCCCCCAGCCCACTGCTGCTTCTCCGGAAGTGTCGCCCACCCAGCACAGCTGCCCTAGAGTAAACAGTGAGTTGCCAGCATTTCCTACTCAGGAAAGCTGTGCTCCCTACATTAACCGTTAGAACTAAAATAGCCCAATGTAGCTTCGATGCCTAAAACCGAAGTTCCAATTATAATCTTGCTCAGATTCTGGAAACCAGGGTTTGTGGGGGCCCAGAAGATGGAGGAGCATCTTTTTCTATTTATACATGTGACTAATTTCTCCACTCAGCACTGGGCCAGGTTGTTGCTGTGGCTAATTCCGTTTGATGAGACAGCATTCCTTCACCCACATATATTCCCACCTCAGTACTTAACTGTTCGCCTCACTTTAGGCTGCTGAGAAAATTCTGCTCCAGTTGTACCTGCACCAATGGAGGGCTGAAGCACGCGGAGTTAATTTAATCACTGATTGTGGCAGGGCTTGGCAGGCTTCAGGGCTGCTTGCCACAGATAAGTTGCCATTGTTAACACTCAGACAACCTAGATTACCCAGGAAATTGAGCACAGCAGCCAGTGTGTGCCCGGTGTACGCCGACTGGCTCTGGTGAACCTAAAAGCACTATGCTGCGAGCTGGAACGCTTTGCAGGGCCACACATGTCACAGAAGCCTCACCCTGTCTCATGGCTGGCCTTCATGACCCTTCTGATTTGGACACTGTGGAAGTTCTTGGCCTTTCGCTTTGTTCTTTGGCTAGCCAGTCTTAAACCCAAGCCAGCAGGAATACCTAATCTAATTATCCATCACAGTGGTGTTAGGCTACTACCAAAACAGAATGGTTGCCCCTGCAAATCTCCAAAAGTAATCAGAATCATGTACACGGAGACTACCGGGGGTAAAACTGGAAAGGAAAGGTTCAGTAGAGCACATTTCCAAAAGCTCAAAGCTAGCACACGCCAGAAAACGGTAGGTACTTTTGATGTCCCTCTGAGTACAGCGAGAGCTACTAAGGATGGACGGCTTGACTCAGCACCTTTGCAGGCAAGAGCTGGTCACTTGGGTCCCCTGTCACTCTAAGACATCGGGGGCTGGCACAACGTTGACTTCTATAAATACTAAGGTTTTTAGGGTGAAGTCAAAGGCCCACACTGCACGTGATTCACTTAGAAACAGCATCTTTCATAAGAAATTAAACTACCAGTATTTTGTAGAAGGGAAACTGCTAGACACTTCTGAAAGCATGGCCCTGTGGATTCATCAGAATTCTTGACAAGTTGGTGAAAAAAATTCTCACAATCTCTAGGATTATTAAAACAAACTTTAAAAACTTAAACCCATATGGTACTACATATTCAGTACTAAGGGTCTGTTCTGTGTGTCTTTAAGGACAGAACCCATGACCTGGTGCATGCTTGCCAGCATATATATACACCCCTGAACTATACATGCTCCCCCGCCTCCTGCCCTTGTTTCTATGGAGCAGCATCTTGCTATGTATTTCTAGCAGGTCATGAACTAACTAGTAACTGAGAGGCTTGCCTCTAAGACCCTTTGGCCTCAACGTCCTCAGAGGGCTTGCCTTCTGCTTCCTTCAGTTTGAGTTTTAGACAGCTGATATGGACCTGCTAAGTGGGTCTCGGGCTCTCCTCCTGGGCTGAACCTGAAGCAAACAAAGCCCTGTGTTCGTTGACTTGAACCGAGTTACACAACTCTTGCAGCAAACACTTGAGGCTTTGTAAGGCAGAAAGGTTTAGTAATCTCCCACCTTCTCCACATTCAACAGGATGTCTACACCAAGCTATCTCCTTTGGATGGCTGCAGGCATTAACTAATAAAACAGCGGCCCACTGTTCCGGAGCAGGATAGCAAATACTATTCTAATAGGAATGGCCCTTCTGAAGCTTCAGCGCTGGACCAGGTGATGAAGCAAGCACTCATGCGCTGGCGCACCACCTGCCCTCCCCCACCACATCCTCTGGGCCTGAACTTCAAAGCCCTCCCTTCCTGCACACGCCTCCCCACCCACATCACACCAAATACCCAAAGCAAGCAAATTGCTTGAGAACACTCAAGTGCTGACTTCTCGTTGGTGCTGAAGTCTCAGAACTACTTCCAAGCCAGCAGCTCTTACAGAAGCCCCTCACCCGCCTGCTTCTTTTTCATCTTCTCCCTTTCCAAGGGCTTTTTCTTGCTTCTTTCCTTCATCTGTCTTCCCGCTTTTCCCTCTGCCTCCCTCTCCTGGTCCTGCTAGCAACCGCTACTCCTCTGCCTTCAATTCAGCTCCATCTCTGTGAAAGAGGGAGGAACGGGGTACACATGTGGGCCTCTTGCTGCTTCTGGTAATGCCCGTCCTCCAGAGGAGTATTTCCTTGACTTAAAGCAGCATGGGCTTTGAAAAGACATCCTCTGAGCGGGGAGGTGCTACAGCAGATCGGGAGCAGTTGGGCTTTTAGTCAAGTGCCCGGCTTTTTATACCATGCCCCAAGCCATGTCCTCTCTGTATCTCTCCTCGGCCTGCAGTTCTGATGAAGGGCTCTAACAGGACTGAGGAGGCTCTGAAATAACAGTGGCAGAGCAGGGAGAAGGGGACTAGGGTAGAGTAAAAGCTTGGCTTCCTACTCGCCACTGATACTGTGGGATTTTTCTCAGCATGTTTTCCCAGTGGCCTCGGCCAGCATGGGCAACCCCCTATCTGCCAGCCAACAAAATACTGACTGAGCACATTGCAACCCTGTGCTGGGAGTTATCTGGATCTGTGAACAAGGTCACCAGCCTGCTCAAACTTCCATCCTCATGGGAGAGACAGTAAGAAAATAAACAGGTGGATATGTAATGCCAAGGAGTAATAAACGCTGAGAGGGAAACCTGGGTAACACTAGAGGACCCGAGACAGCTGTCCACAAAGGCCTTTTAAACTGACACCTGAGCAGAGAGCCTTAAAGGAAGCAAAGGATGAGTCATGAGGACATGTGAGGGAAAGCTCCCCAGGCAGAAGAACAGTACGTGCAAAGGTCCTGGGGAGAGAAAGCAGTAAAGAAAAATGTCAGGAAGTCAGAATTACTGCAGTTAACAAGGACACACCGCTGTGCGGACATGGCAGCCCATCTAGGACCACCCACCCTGAGGCCAATGACTATTTAGGCACAAAGTCTCCACAGACAGCGGTCTTCCCAGCTTCCTATCCCCCAGATTTCTCCAGCTTACTCTTCCTCCACACCAGGAGTCCTCACAGTTGGGGTCATCCTGTCAGCTGACCACTCCATCTGACTTTAACAAAAACCGAATAGCAAACACAGTAAGAAAGGCCATAAGCACATTTATCCACAATTCTGAAGAGATAGCGAATGTACCATAGTGAAGAGCAGAAGATCAAAAGGGCAGCGAAGGAAGGGAGGGAAAGACGGAGGGAGCGAGAGGGGGCAGCCAAGAAGAAATGAGTATGGAGTCTTCGTCACAAGCCTGCAAGTGACCTGGCGCTAAACTCACAAGGATCCCCAGTCCTGTAAATTGAGGAGTGGAAATAGTAAACCTTGAAATAACCTTGGAGAGCTGCTGAAGAGGTGAGACACGTGGAGACCATGACCAGAAGCCTCTAATGGACCCGCTCTGCAGCCAGCTTTCCCAATCTAAGAGTCATTACAAATAAACAGGATCCTCCAGTCCCAGGTTGCTCTCAAAGATTTTGGTATGTAAACGCTGATTATTTTTATTTTGTACATCAAAAAAAAAAAAAAAAAAAAAAAAAAAAAAAAAAAGCAAAATTTAGAAATTCTTCCCCGGTTTCCCCCAAAATTCCAACAACCCCCTCTCTGTTTCTTAGGCCAGAGGCAGGCGGCCCACAGTCCCTGGGTGCATTTCGTTGAGCTCAGTGTGCCTCGGGAGCTGTCCAGAGGCCCCCGGAGCTGTCCCTGCTTGTGGCCAAACTCTGCAGCGTCAGGTCAATCCAGGTCCCACAACCCGTGCTCCAGCTGCCTAGTTCAAAGGGCCCAAGGCAAGAGAGTCAGTAGAAGTGAGCCCCCACCCCCGAGGGGCAATGGGAAAGAAACACCCCCCCCCCGCGCGCGCGCAATGACGCGCGCGAACACACACACACACACACACACACACACACACACACACACGCCGGGCGCGCGCCCGCGGCACAACACGGACTTCCCAACCCCACACAAGCGCACCGCGGCTCGTTGAGTTCTGGGTTTCCTCTTCCTCAAAGCCGCGGGGCTACCGCGGCGCGGAGCTCGCTCTCTCCCTCCCCAGCGCCTCACGCCCGCCGCTCTCCGGGAAAGGCGCCCGGTCCGCCCTCTCCCACGCCAGCCTCTCCATCGAAGCCCCCGCCGCCCTCCCTCCCGGGCCCCACAGGGAAGCCCCGCGTGGCCCCGGGAGGCGGGTCTTCACCAGCGAACGCTCGCAGGGGTCCCCGCCGCCCGTCGCGCCCCAGCCCGGGAGCGCGCTCTCCGGGGGTCCCCTCCCATCTGCGACGCCCAAGCGAGCCCCGGAGTCTTCGCCGCCCACCGCGACTGGGCGCAGCCTCCCGTCTCTCCGGCCCCACTACTGCTGGCCGCAAGGTCCCGGTGCACTCTGCTAGGTCCCAGCACCCCTACGCCGGTGGCGCAGCCCTCCGGCGCCCCCTCCAGCCAACCCTGCCCGGGCCACCTCCGCGGGTCCCGGCTGTGAGTCCCACTCCGGAGCTGCCCCCAGTGTCCACTGCCCCTGTGCCTCTAGTCACTCGGGACCCCCCTCTGCCTAGACCTCCCAACTGCAGCGCGCCCGCAGCCTCCGCCCGCCCGCACCGCGGGGCCCCGGGAGGAAACAAAAGTGTCTCGGCGGCGCCCTCGTCTTGCCCCGGCCCCCGCCCGGGCCGCCGAGGTCAGCGAGCTGGGCGCCGCGCCAGCCCTGAAAACTTTACGAACCTGCCCGGGGTCGCAGGACGCGGTGACGAGGGCTCCCAGGGGCCGGACCGCCGGGGAGGGGGCCGTAGACCGGTGCCCGAGGTTCTGTCGCCCCTCTCGGGGCCGTGGACGGCGGTGGCTCTGCCTCTATCTCGTGCCCATCCTCGCCCGCCGCCGCTGCCCGAACGCACGCACTTACACTCGGGTCGCCGGCCGCTGCCGCCGGCTGCCGCTGCTCTCACTTCCTCTTCCTTCCTCCTGCTGGCCAGAGACACATCTTGCATCTAGGAGCATCCCGCGAGCTGCCGCGAACTCTCCTCCTGGGCAGACGCTGCGGAGTTGCCGCCGCCGCCCCCGGCACCTGCGCGCGGACACGCGTGGTTGGCGCGTTTGCTTCCCGCCCCCGCACTGCTTCCCGCCTCCCTGTAAGGTGACTAGGGCCCGGTGCCTATGAGTTTTTGAAGTCCTTATACTTAAAAAGAGGGGAATGTCACACAGTATGCATACTTCTGCTTTGCTATAAATAGTGTGTACTGAGCATGACTTCTCTGATGAGCTCACAAACCGCGTTTTACAGTCACTAATTAACTCCGTCACCCTCATAGCGCCACCTCTGGGGTACCCTTTTTTATAAGCTTTCATTTTGAACAGCTTTTTGAGATTTTCCACCGAAGGGGAAACTTCGGTGAGCTGATTTAAAACAATTAATTTCTCTAAGAAGCTCCCCGTATATTTATTTCTTGACACACTTTGTCGTGGGCAGCAAGGCAAAAATGGCAGCCCGTTTCCTTCTCCTCCATCACCTATGAATTTACTGTAGTCAAAAGTACCAGGATTCCTTCAGTGAAGCCAGAGATTCTCTTGTGTGGTACATCATGGCATGAAGCAACATGTACTACTCTGAATTTGTTATTTATGGTTATTTTATTATTATTGAAGTCACGCAGTCCTACTTCAGTAGTTTTCAAAGAAGAAATCAAACACAGCTAACTCCCAGTCTAGCAGGCAGGAGGGAAAGGACAGTTGGAAAGTTCAGAAGAAGCACCTGTCCTGTTGGAATTCAGCACTCTCTGAGGGAGCCGCTGTAGAGGGCAGGGAGCCGCTGTGCCTGTCCTCATCTCTAGAAAAGGAGAGGAGCTAGGAGTACATCCCAGAATCTAAAGCAAAGAGCAATGCTCTCTTTAAGATTAATCCCAAGAAGAGTGAACTGGGCTTGGTATGTAAAATAAGATTGTTTTAAAAAAATTAAAAAAAGGTTAGTCACAGGAATATTTAAATATGAACCCTGTGCCAACTGTCCATTAGCACCCATTGGGTACTTTACATGAAAAATAAAATAAAATAGCCCCATTGTTTTTATAATGATTTTAGTTCCTTTCAGTGAACAATAGTGTCCACAGTTTATATGTAATAAATCAATCAGATAGTATATCAGGTTAGGATATATGTGCATAATTAAAATGAATTCCACCATTTTATTTATTTGTTTGTTGTTTGATTATTTAGGTTTTTGAGACAGGGTTTCTCTGTGTGTAGTCCTGGCTCCCTCACTCTGTAGCCCAGGCTGTCATCAAACCCACAAAGATCCACCTGCCTCTGCCTCCCCAGTGCTGGGATTAAAGGCATGTGCCATCACCGCCTGGCCTCACCAGTTTATTTTTATTGAATTTTTTCATAAAATATATTCTAATCATCCTTTTTCCCTCCCCAGACTCCTCCGAGACTCCCCACCTTGCCACCCACCCAACCCCACGCCATTTCTTTTTCTCTTGCTTTAAAAAATAAGCAACCAAAATAAGAAAACAAAACAAAATAACCAAACCAATAATAATAACAAAATAAACAGGAAACACACACTTGTATTTAAAAACATAAAAATACAAAAATGAAAAGCAAAACATACAAGCAAAAAACAATAAGACGAAAAATGTCTAAACAAAGCAATTTGAGACAAAAAGTCTACAAAACAATGAGTTCATTCTGTGTTGGCCATCTATTGCTAGGCATGGGGCCTACCCTGAGGAGTTAGTATACGCCGTGATACTCCACTGAAGAAAAACAATTTTCCTTTGGAAATAGGAGTCAATTGCAGATAGTTTCTTGGTTAGTGGTAGGAGCCTGTGTCCACTTTCCCCTCTCAGCACTGAGAAGCCATCTGGCTTGAACCTGTGCACACCAGTGCATCTGCCACAGTGTCGCGAATTCCTGTGTAGCAGTTCTGTGGTAGCTGAAGGACACAGTTTCTTTGGACTCATCCACACCCTCTGGCTCTTACCTTCTTTCAGCCTCCTCTCTTGCCTAGTCCCTTAAGCCCTGAGGGGAGGGTTTGAAGAAGATATTCTATTTAGGAGCGAGTACTCCAAAAATCTCACTCCTTGCATATTGTACAACTGAGGATCTCTGTGTTAATTCTTATCTATTGCGAAAGGAAGCTTCTCTGATGGTGGCTGAATGAGGCACTAATCCATGGTTATAGCAGGATGTCAATAGGAGTCATTTTGGTGCTCTATTAGTTTAGCAGAAAAACACTATTTGGTTTTCCCCAAGCCTACCCAGTCTCAGGTTCTTGACCACCTGGGAAGTGTGTGGTATGTGTTCCATCTCATGGAGTGAGCCTTAAATCCCATCCCAGAATGGTTGGTTACATCCACAACATTTGTACCTCTATAGCACCAGCATATCTAGCAGGTAAGCCACCACTGTTACAAGTCACTATTGCAGAACACAGGTTTTGTAGTAGCAAGCACACAAAGGATCTTCCAGTACCATGAACACTAGTCAGTAGGACTGAAGGCTCTAGTTAAGTACCAGCTAAACCTCTCCGTGTTTAATGAGATACTATCTTCAGCAAGATACCAATAGCCTTGACAATATATTGGCCGATAAATCAGATGTAACTTATTCCTGGCACTGGAGGTTTTACTTGGCAGAGTAAGATACCTATTGAGGCATTGACTGCCCAGTTATTTGGTGACTTCATTTTGATTTTTTTCATAGATAGGTATATTTTAGGAGGTTTCCTTCCACTGTATTGGGCTTCCACATGGCCCCTCAAATGGCCTTACTGTTAGTTGTCTCCTTCCCACCCCCATATTCCCTGCCCCTCCTCATTTATTACTCCCACTCCAATCTCTGCCTTGTCTCTACAGAGCATCACATTCTATTGCACTTCCTTGGGAGTTCCTCTCCTCCTTCCTAATCTTTTATTGGGTACCTAACCTCTGTGGTTACACAACTGTAGCATGCATATCAAAAGCTTGCAAGCAAACAACCACAAGTATTTGTTTTTTTGGAGTCTGAGTCTCCTTACTCAGAATGATTTTTTTTCTAGCTCTATCCATTTACCTATCAATTTTATAGTTTTGTTTTCTTAAAGAGCCAAGTAATATTCCATTGTGAAATGAACCATATTTTCACTATTCCTTCACCAGCTGATGGACATCTAGAAAGTTTCCGATTTCTGGCTATTATGAATAGAGCAACAGTGAAGTTGGATGAGCAAGTGTCTCTATAGAAGGACCGAGAAACCACTGGCTATATGCCCAAGAGTGGTATAGCTAGATCTTTTCCAAACTTCCTGCGGAACTGAAGCACTGATTTCCATAGTGACTGTACTACTTTGCACTCCCACCAGCAATGGATGAGTGTTTTCCTTTCCTCACATCCTCTCCAGCATGAGCTGTCATTTGTTTTATTGATCTTGGCCATTCTGACTGGTTTAAAATGAAGTCGCAAAACAGTTTTAATTTGAATTCCCCTGATGACTAATGAAATGATAGGGAACATTTCTTTAAGTATTTCTCAGTCATTTATATTTCATCTTTTGAGAACTCTCTGCTTAGTTCTGTACTCTATTTTTTGTTTGTTTTTTGTTTTGTTTTGTTTTGTTTTTACAAGACAGGGTTTCTCTGTGTAGCCCTGACTGTTCTGGAGCTCTCTCTGTAGCTCAACCTGACCTTGAACTCAGAAATCTGCCTGGCTCTGCCTCTTGAGTGCCGGGATTAAAGACATTTGCCACCTCCACCCAGCCTGTACGCTATTTTTTAATTGGGTTATTTGTTTGCTTAAAGTCCAGTGTTTTGAGTTCTCTATATAAATACTAACCCTCTATCTGGTGTGTAACTGGTAAAGATATTTCCCATTGTGTAACCTGCCACTTTGTCTGAATGACAGTGTTTTTTGCCATACAGAAGCTTTCCAGTTTCATGAGATCCCATTTATTAATTGTTGATCTAGTTGCCTGTGCTACAGTGTTCTGTTCAAGCAGTCTTTTCCTGTCCCGGGTTCAAAATTATTCCCCACTTTCCCTTCTATCAGATCCAGAGTACCTGGTCTCATGTTGAAGGCCTTGATGCACGTGGAGTTGAGTTGCTGACAAGTAAGCATGTATTTCCATTCCTCTACAAGAAGCCATTCAATTTGACAAGTACCATTTTTTGAAAATGCTGTCTTTTCTCCAATGTGTATTTTTAGCTTCTTTTGCAAAATCAGTGTGTGGATTTTAGATAAGATCTGGGTCTTAATTCCATTCCATTGATCCAAGAGTATTTTTTTTATGCCAGTACCAAGTTGTTTCTTCGTTACTATATCTCTGTAGTACAACTTGAAGTCTGGGATGGTGATACCTCCAAAAGTTCTTTGATTACTCAAGAGTGTTTTTACTATCCTGTTTTGTCTGATTGTGTTCTTTTTGTTTGTATTTTACATATAGCTGAAATTTTTTATTTATATAAAGAATGATGTTGACATTCTGAAAGGATTTCTCTTGGATCTGTAAATCGCTTTTGGTAGGATGGCTGTTTTCACTGTATTAATCCTACTGATCCATGACCATGGGATATTTTCTCATTTACCTCTGCTATTTGTGGATTTGGTCTTTTCACATTGTCCTAGATTTATTGACTATTTTGTGCCTTGATTTCTTTAGATTTAATTTTTTGTTTTGTTTTGTTTTGGTTTTGGTTTTTGGTTTTTCAAGACAGGGTTTGGAGCCTGTCCCAGAACTCATTCTGTAGACCAGACTGGCCTCGAACTCACAGAAATCCACCTGCCTCTGCCTCCAGAGTACTGAGATTAGAGGCATGTGTCACCACTGCCTATGTTTCTCCTGTGTCTTCTACTCTGTTGGTGAGGCTTACCTCTGAAGTTTTGATTATATAGCTTAAATTTTTCATTTCCAGTTTGTGTTTCCTTTA